AATAATACTAACTGAACAAATAGATTTGCATATTTGGACTGCATGTAGAAGTGGTCAGAATGTGATTAATAATATTCAATAAATGCCTGAATATTAATTGAAATACATTCATTGCACTTGTGAATGCTTACACGCATTCCAGGCAAGTGAAAGAGCAGCGTAATGACATTTACTGGTGTCGGCAGTTTCCTTGTTTGCAAGACATAACAACTTGTATTTTGGGTTTAACTGTAGATAAAATATCAAACACTTGTTTCCGGTTACATTAGTGCTACACATTGGACTCAGAACTTGCTATTTGAACATAATATAAACTTTCTTATATGTGCAAAACTTGTGAATATCACAAAGTAGTAAAGACGGCAAAAATATCTAAGAGATAACTTGCAAAAGGAAGTGATATTATTGTTAATAATGAGAAAAAAAGATTGTGTATCCAAGATTTGTTCCGCATGAGTGTATTTCTCGAGATATTTCACTGTACTTTATAGTAAATCTGTTGATTATCGTGCTTTACAAATGCACTTTTTCTGAACCATTATAACATCCATTGTAACGTAATACTCATAAATAACGCAATGCAATAAAATATACCATCTTAATCGGTTAATCTATATCCGTTGTATATACCATATATTATACAATCTACATCAATGAACCATTATAACGTCCATTGTAACGTAATACTCATAAATAACGCAATGTATTAAAATATACCATCTTAATCGATTAATCTATATCCGTTGTGTATATATTATACAATCTACATCAATTTTGTTCGATCTAGCTTGTAAAGTTTTTGTAGTCAGGTAGTTAACGATTAGCTTCGTCGATTTGTACAATCATATTTTTTTTGTTTTATTTGTATAAGTAATTTATAATATTAAAATGCATGGAACTCTATCAACAGAAAAAACTTTTGAAAATAGAAGTCGGTTTTGCCAATTGTAGCTTACATTGACGTACTATGGATTTATCCATGAACACCCGTTCTTGTGTGGTGCTGCGTGCCTTCAAGAGCAGCAGTAAGTGTTATTGGTGAGCTACGTATAATTATGTTTTGTGTTATTACCAAGCACGTGTGCAATTATTCTTTGGCGTTAATTATTCAAATTCAAAATCATAATAGAAGTAAATTAGTAATCTTCAAGTAGCAATGCGTAACAAATCGTGGAGGATACCAACGTCGTCTTGAATTTTGAAGGAAATTGTGGGCAAAGCAATATTTGCTTTAATTTAACTTACAAACGCAGTTGGCTTGTGGAAAGATTGATTTCATTTAAGGCAAACTATATATGTTGCACTGGCTTAACACTGGCTTTATTGAGAAGTGAGACAACAAAACTTGAAATAAAAATTTTTACTTCTTTGATGAATACATGACCATAATATTCATTATTTTTATACTATAATTTTGATCATATCTCACCAATGAAAGAATCAAAATTGCAGAATTACACGTTGATTGCTCTCATGTTATCTGGTATACGCCTGTCGTCGATTTCACTTATTCTCACAAAAGCTATCGACTAGGCTTTCGCACAAAAGGCAGCACACAGATAACACAAAGTAGTTAACTTGAATGAAGTCAACTTGCATATATATTTTATTGCCTAACATATGAGTATGTATTGTTTGCTTTAGTGTGCCTTTTGTTCTAACTTGTAATTTTCCCCTTCAGAGTAGGTCCTTGGGTGAAGTTTCACACCTGTGGAAATCTGTTCTGTGTGCCAAAGTGTTTGCTTATGTAGGAATTAGTGATTAAATTTGTACACACTTTCATGGCTTTGTCTTTATTGTTTTTATGCGTAAGTAGACACAAGTAGGCTTCATACAATTTAATCCTGTGTTATCAGTAAATATGACAAACAACACTTGAGTCCTTGTATTGCTGTTTGCACTTCTGTAACTATTGATCGAAGTTTAATGCAATCAGCACCTTAATTAGAAAAATATGCGAGAGTAGAGCACAGAAGATTAATACAACTGTGCAAATGTTGAAGAATCTTAAACAATATACAAATATACAATATTTGTAAATTTTCATAATTGGACACTATTAAGACATTAAGACATATTGTATTGTTTAATATGACTTTTTACGAAGCAACGAGGTTATATGTTTTTGTCAGTATTAGAAGATAGGTATACCTAATACCTGATGCGTGAATAAAATGTATATTAAATAAATGGTTTTCTAAATGTGCTCTATAGAATAATAATATTTACCGCAAACTAAAACATTCACAGCATTGCTTTTGAAAACTCATAACAAAAATTCAATTATATTAAAATAAATTCATCCCATTTTATAGGTGTTCGCCAACAATCGGCTTCGAGCTATGAATCATATCACAAAGATATTGTATTTGGCAAAATGCCTTTATAATTTAATAATTCTCTTTTTAGCTAAACATTTGCATTGTTGAGGTTGTATCTGTGCTGCTTCTGAGTTCTCAAGTAGTGACAAATTCATTATGTCACCAGTAAAAGGATGCATTTTGAATGCAATAAATCATAGCTGAACCCAGCCAAGGATATTAATTCATTGGACGTGATCATGTAATGAAAAGAAAGAAATGTTTGCAAATTCAGATCCTCTACTCTAGCACTATAAAATGATTTCAAAATTTTTGTATTTTACGTATTTAGCAATTAAGAAATGGTACACCTATCTCACATGGGGACTACCATTTTGTATTCGGTTGAATTAAATTTATTTAAGTTAAATTTAAAAAATTGATAATGAAGTTTTACTTAACATACAAGTCATTTTCAGATATAAAGACATAGAAATAATTAAGAAATTTAATAATCAACATTTATCGAAATATTTCAATGTGGCCTTTCTGAGAATCGCTTATGGCCTTATGATACTAAATAAATCACTGCAGACATGACGGAAATTATATTTTGTTTGTTTGTTGATATAGTTAACATTAATACCTATTCTTCTGCTCCCTGTTTATTCAATCCAGTTCGTTACTCAATGCAGTTATTAATAACATAATTCATTTAAATAGAAATTAATATTTGCTTTGAAAAGAAATATATCAAGAATATTATTAGAAAACTAATTCCCTTTGGGGTGGTGTTTCCCACATTGGAAAATACTGAAATAATCTGATAGAAAAGAAACTTTTGTTTATTAAAATTTCTTCAAATAATAAAAGATAGAATAGTGGAGCAATAACTTATATGTTACACATATACCTATTTTTTTACACATTCAACATTTATTCTTGTGGTAATGGATTGTATATAGTGTTATAATTTTATCTATCCTTAAGCACATGCTTTTCAAACGCTTATTATGTAATATTGTATATTATACTAGTATATAGGTGCCTAACGGATTCTGAATATTTCGCAAATATTTAAAAAATTTTTTTCTTTTCGCTTTAACATTTTGAATGAGCCCCAAAAATATTTATTTTAGGTGTGTATAGGCTGTTTAATTGCACTAGATTGCAGCTATAAACGACTTGAACTGAGCGCTATCTAATGTATTAAACTTAACAGATATAAAAAGTATGCAGTAATGAATTTCACTTGTTTTTTTTTACTTTTACTATGAAATCAATAAGATTTTAAAGTTTTAGGAAATTTACGTAATATATTTAATATCAGTTGAAATTGGAATTAAAACTTTTAAAAGTAATATGAAATACTTTAAAATTTTTTATTATTTAATAATTAACTAATAAATAATTTTTTTTTGGTATTGTAAGAATCATAAAAAATTACATGTGCAAAATCGAAAATTACCTATATTATACCTATATTGTATATTGATACCTATATCTCACAAATTTTTATAATGAATAAAAATCTCTTTATCGTTTAAAACAGCTGAATAAATAAAACTAAATAAATTAAATTTTTATTATAAATAATAAAACACTACTCCTAAATAATGCCAGAAGTAGAGTACATAGTATCTTTTGTATGAAGTTGTGTTAATAAATAAACCTTAGAATTATAGAGATAAACGATTTGCCTGATTTTCATCTGCTTTGCATTTTGTGTCTTTAGAAATGTGTCAACCAAATGGCTACAATATAAAATAAGTGGTATATAAGTACAGGAGCGTTTTTGCTTTATACAGGCCATTTTCATTGCCTATTTTAAAAAAATTTTCCAAAACACTTTATATTTAGTGACTTTCAAACTGTTACGAGAACTGTTTCTCAAGGAGCAGACTTATAAAGCTTTTGCTGTTATCCTTTATGTTTTCATTGGAATTTTACTCTTTATATTCAATTTCTTTTGTCTTTCCCCAACATAAACACAAAACAACTTCAATTTTCTTGTCCTTGAATAAGGATTTTAATAATTAGCACTGATTTGTGTGAGAGGCGGGAATGGCAACAATGAATGTTGCAATGCTGCAGCGTCACAAAAAATCAGTAATCCAGGGTCCGATTTATTGCAAACGCCACAACATTACTTTTTTATAAAATTCGCGCCTGATAACCGTTTTGGCCTTCTATTTTGCACTTCGCCTCTGTATTTTTCTTATTTAACCGAAATTTCACAATTAAGTTTTATATGAATTTTCTTTAAAATTGTATATTTTAGATTTTCAACACAGCCAGCACACTTCGCGTGTTTAAATTTAGCACCGAAAAGCGCCGAACAGTCCCGAAACGGCAACACGAGGCCAAAAATAACATTTGCTATTGCCTGGGCAGCATTAAAGTGTAACGATTTCAAAAAATTTTCAAAATTGCTGTGAAAAAATTGAAAATTTCTTTAATTTTTTAACTGAAATTGCGAAATTTCCGTTGTTTTTCACCAATTTTTACCGGAAAAAATAAGTTACGCATCACAGCATCACGTGGCGCATCGAATGGCAATGTTTTTGTAATGTATTTTCCGCGTATTCCAGGTTTTTCCACTTTACATATATATTTCGCAATGGAACTGAACTTTTTACTTAGTATAAACGCAAATAATTTCAGCCACTTTCTTGGCCCACAGGCAAGCAAACAACTTACTTTTCGTGTCGATATTTCTCTTTAGACTGAATGGAAAGCATACAACGTTGCCGATGGGAGATTTTTATGTGCCAAATGTGCTTGCTTTACGTACTTTACACAAGCTTTTTTGGTTGTGTGCGAGCGATTTTCCGTGTGTTAGTTTCGGATTGGCAATAGCAACCGCAAGTTGTGCTAAGGCTGTATGTAGAGTTCGTACTCGGAACTTGCTTGCTTTTACTACTTGTATTGCCGTGTGCCTTTAATTACTGGATATATGGTAACTGAGAAATTGTTCTCTTACAATTTCACAATACACCATACATACTTGCTATTATTTCATACATATGAATTTATTTTATGAGAACCGAATGAAGTAGAATTATGTACAATCGGCTGCCATCGTGTTGGTTCTAGTGCACTCGTGTTGTTATTTTAAAGTACATTGATCTTTTTCGTGTTATGTATAAATAAAACTTTCAAGTGAACGAATGAACCTCAAACTTTATTTTGTTTCTTAACCCACTAACACACTTCAAATAGCGTACGATTTATAATTTCATTCATAAATCTTTTTTTTTGCATAATGGCGTCTTTAGGTCTCGCCAAATTTTGTACAGCTTCGCACGATGTTCCGCATAAATGTACAATGTTGTTTATAACGTCAACATTGCTTATGTTTTAAGAAGTTGCTCTTTTCGTAATCGCAAAGAGAGCAACTTTGCAAATCGGACTCTGCAAATTTATTTTTGTTTATATGTCAGATTTAAGTGATATCACTTCTGCTGCTCTTTTTATTTAGTATTTTGCCAATTCGTTATTCTTGAGAAAACAATGACCTAACGTTGTTTTTAGGGTTACGATACCAGACTTTTCACACGCTAATTAATAGGAAGAGCTATTATTAGCTATTATCCAATTATCAATTAGTACTCTATTATATGCTGTTGTAATTGCAAGGTATGTATCAACACCTTTATTGCTGTTAATATTACTTCTCAATTACAAACTATATTACCAACTATATAAATTATATTACAAACTATATAAAATTATAAAATTTGTTTTCTTAGTATAAAATTACTTCTGTCAAATTGATTTCTTCAATGTATACTGCGTTATCACCACAATGCTATGTGGAATGTTGGATATTTGAAATGGGATCCTATCGGTGACATGTTTTTGCTAATCGAATTCTTTGATGATATTCCAGTTTTATGAAAGTAAGGTCAGACAGTTGCATGGTACAACAATAATACGAAACAAATGGACGGAATAGACATCTATACTTATTATTTACTATTTATATTACTATCTACTTTAATAAATTTTATACATACAAAAAAAATTTCTATTCAAGCAGTTTATAAGGCAACACCATTGTTATTGCATATTTATTGTTTTTTTTTGCTCATAGTTTTTACATGGTTGAAAAAGCGATAATGTGTTATTGGGAGTGTCAATAATGGCGTCTTTAGGTCTCGCCAAATTTTGTACAGCTTCGCACGATGTTCCGCATAAATGTACAATGTTGTTTATAACGTCAACATTGCTTATGTTTTAAGAAGTTGCTCTTTTCGTAATCGCAAAGAGAGCAACTTTGCAAATCGGACTCTGCAAATTTATTTTTGTTTATATGTCAGATTTAAGTGATATCACTTCTGCTGCTCTTTTTATTTAGTATTTTGCCAATTCGTTATTCTTGAGAAAACAATGACCTAACGTTGTTTTTAGGGTTACGATACCAGACTTTTCACACGCTAATTAATAGGAAGAGCTATTATTAGCTATTATCCAATTATCAATTAGTACTCTATTATATGCTGTTGTAATTGCAAGGTATGTATCAACACCTTTATTGCTGTTAATATTACTTCTCAATTACAAACCAAAGAATCTATAGTACAAAGAAGTGCCACGCTCATACAAACGAAATACCCACTTTATTTTGCTGGTGGATTTATAATAAATCCTCATGCAACAATGTTCGATCGAGTCACAACTGGTATGATGTTCAGTTCAAACTCATTGCAACCCACAATTGTTTTTATACGCCTGTTTCTTTTGCCTTTCTTGTTTTTATTTGTCTATTTAATTAATATACATGGATTAGTAACGAAGTGAATGGTAAAGAAATCCCTCAAATAATTTTTCGATATACTTTGTTGCTTTATCTTCTTGTACTGGAAAGGCCCATATCATAGGAGTAAAGAGTAATAGACTATATTATTTTTTTTATTGCAAAAAATGATGCACTACAAAAACCATTATGTATGTACAAATGTGATATTGGAGACATGAAGTCTACAGTATATTAATATGTATGTTTTTATTGCACATTTGTGCATATATTTTACCTCAAAAGGAACTACTTCTTAATAGTTTGAATTTTTGGTGACTTTTTGTGATTATTTTAAAAAATTTTTTTAAGATTCATATAAAAGTGTTTTAAAAGTATTTTAAAGAAAATAAAAATATTAGAAAAGTAAGAAAAATTATATTGAAAAAATGTATAGAAGTCACTAAAACCACTAATAATGCTTCCTGGTTTGAGGAAGCGCATAAATGCTATTTACAAAGGATTGAAATGTTAAAATTGGAAAAGTCAGAAAAAGGAAAAAATCAGATTTGAGACATAAATAAACTTGTAATGTGTTTTTACACTACAATTCATAACAATATCAAACAGGTAATTTTGTTTCATATGCTATCAAATTCAAAAACTTATCAAACGTACACAATTTTGACTTCGTCACTGAAATGCTGTTTGATCGTTTGAACATTTTACAGCGAACAAACATACAAACATGCGTATAATATAATACAGAGGGTTGCATGTATGATTGAATACGAATGCAGTCGGGATTTTGTCAGCCTTACTCGACTCACATATAGGTTTAAAATGGACATCATACCAGTTGTGACTCGATCGAACATTGTTGCATGAGGTTGGGTGGATTTATTATAAATCCACCAGCAAAATAAAGTGGGTATTTCGTTTGTATGAGCGTGGCACTTCTTTGTACTATAGATTCTTTGTTACAAACTATATTACCAACTATATAAATTATATTACAAACTATATAAAATTATAAAATTTGTTTTCTTAATATAAAATTACTTCTGTCAAATTGATTTCTTCAATGTATACTGCGTTATCACCACAATGTTATGTGGAATGTTGGATATTTGAAATGGGATCCTATCGGTGACATGTTTTTGCTAATCGAATTCTTTGATGATATTCCAGTTTTATGAAAGTAAGGTCAGACAGTTGCATGGTACAACAATAATACGAAACAAATGGACGGAATAGACATCTATACTTATTATTTACTATTTATATTACTATCTACTTTAATAAATTTTATACATACAAAAAAAATTTCTATTCAAGCAGTTTATAAGGCAACACCATTGTTATTGCATATTTATTGTTTTTTTTTGCTCATAGTTTTTACATGGTTGAAAAAGCGATAATGTGTTATTGGGAGTGTCAAATGATTTTCATGTTTATTAGTGCTTTACTTTTATACATTCTTTAGCAGTTGGGAAATGTGTAGAAAATACAAATCATTTGTAGCGTTAAAATAATAATGAAAAAATTGATACAATTTTGATTTGAACATGTCAACTTTTATATTAAAAAAAGTTTATAAAATTTTTGTCATGTTATTGTATACAATCAAAATAAAGAATGCATTTGACTAATTTGAATATTTTTACATTAACATAATATGGAGTCATTCAAATAAAAATGAATGTCGGTTAATAAACCGCCTGCACCTGTAACCGGTTACATTGGTTATCACATTGTCTCATTATGTCGAGACACGCAATCTTTAGGTTTGTCTCCAATGTTTTGTAAACAGCCGAATTAATTTTAATTTTGTCAGTGAACACATAGAGAATAGTTGACTGTTAATGTTATGAAAATATGATGTTTATTTTGACCTTTCATAAATGTAGTTTCATTGAGTTAAGTATTATAAATCTTTTATTATGATACAAGATGAAAAGTTTGTGATAAATTTTTTTTAATCATATGTTACCTGGTTTAAAAGACAGCTAAAACTTTATCAAGAATGTACAACAGTAATTTAATCAGATGCTAAAATTATCCTAGTAGAATTTTTTTTTAAGTAAAAATTTTAGTTGTCGTATTGAATATTTGAATAGTTTAATTTTTGAATTTTGTTAAAGTTCTTAAATTTAAAATATTTCTACTTGAATGTAATTGCTCCAGCACTGAGTTATTAATTTACACACATAAACACAAACATACAACAATTTATGCACTGATAAAATTAGACTAGATAAAGTGGAATTTCGTGGAACATAACTCAAAGTTTGTGGCTCGGTTTTAGGCGCTTCACTTGAATAAATTCTGAACAAAGTTTATCTACAACTTTAAAATAATTCAGAAACATTAAAAGTCATAAAGATGCAGCCTCATGCACATTCTGCAAAACGCAGCCACATTAAATGTACAACAACAATTAAAGCAACAACAATAAATGAAACTAAAACTAAAAAAATTTAAAAACTCAACAACAACAGTTGGCTTTAACTAGCCAACTATGCAACAGCAAACAGGATGAATAGGGCAGTGCGACTATTGAAGTGAAGGGCAGGCAATTGCAAAAAATGCTTGCCGATGAAAAACTTCTGCCACGACTAAAACACTAAAATTATATTAAAACAATTTAAATGAATTTCATAAATAATCATGAACAATAAAGTGCAAATTGCAGACCAAAAACAACAACAACAATGAAAATAACAATAATAAAGCAGATCTGAAAATCGTTTAGGTAAGAGCAAAAAACTTGTTGTTGTTGTTGTTCTTTTCATCTACTTTGTTTATAAAAAAAATTAAATTCTCACTAATTTAAGATAAACTGTACTCTTCATATTATTTGTCAAAATGTGCTGAACTCTATCGACGATTGCACAAAACGAAGCATCATGTCCTGTAGAAATATATAGTATCTTACATCTGCCTAAAAAAAGCTCTACTAATTTGAATTGGAAAC